CCTAAACCCGAAACCCTGAACTCCTAGCAATCTGCCATTTAAACTCCTGGCCACCTGAAGTGGAGGCATCAAAACACGAAGTTCTAGACCCCTAAACCTAAACCCTAAACCCTAAACCCTAAACCCTAAACCCTAAACCCTAAACCTTCGACCCCCAAGCCGGCAACCCGAAACCCCCTAAACCCGACACCCTGAGCCCCGAAAATCTCTCGACCCTGCATCCGAAGCCTCCAAATCCGGAACTTTCGTTTCTTCCGGCTTCGAGTCCCAAAGCCCTTAGGGTTTAGGGTTTAGGGTTTAGGGTTTAGGGTTTAGGGACCCCAAACTCTAAACTCCAAACCCCCCAACCCTAAGCCCCTAAACCCTAAACCCGGAACCCTCAACCCCAAACCCCTAAACGCCAAAGCCCCGGAACCCTAAACTCTAAACCTGCCTGTAGGCTGCTGTCTTTCGGCTACTCCGATCCGCTGCAGCCGAGCTCTAAGCTGGGTTACCCTAAACCCTAAACCCTAAACCCTAAACCCTAAACCCTAAACCCTAAACCTTAAACCCTAAGCTGGGTTCAAGCTGGGTTCAGGCTTGTGCATTCGAGCCGTGTCCTTCGACCCGGGATTGAGGCTCTTTGAGGCTTCAAGGTTTGGGGTTCGGGGTTTAGGGTTCAGGGTTTTGGGGTTTAGGGTTTAGGGTTTTGGGGTTTAGGGGTTTAGGGTTTAGGGTTTAGGAAGGGTTTGGGGTTGTGCAGCAGTTGGGGTGTGTTTTGAAAGACGGGTTCTTGTAAAGCTACTTTCGCCAATGTAGGGTTGCTAATCCACACACGCCACTGCCATGGGCATCATCGAAATGAGGCTTGAGAGCCTTGGCGGCCAGGGTTTAGGATTGATGACTGTTCTGTTTACTTGCATTCCCGGGTTAAGGGGCTGTCATCAGCAGGAAGAACGGAGGAGTTGAAACTCGTAAGGAAGCCGTCAGTCGCTGCTGCCGCAAAGCTTCCGCGACTGATGCGCAATTCCGCCATTCTGAGTGTTTGGGGATAGGGGTAGTTTTCTAAATTAGGGTACCCTTTTACGGTCCATTGTATAAGGGTGCCGTACTATAGTGGGGACCCCAAGAAGGGACATTTAGAGAACTACTCATATACCCAAGCGGCTCAAGTGTTCAAGAATTATGCAGAATCGCACTGGTCCTCCCTCCCTCCAGAAGTTGGCAATGCAAGTCCCAAGCCACAGAAGCTTCTTCTTGAAGCCCGCCATCCTGCAGATGGAATCAGGTTCAATGCCGATGATCCCGACTTTGATGTCCTGGACTTTCTAGATACTTTCAATGCCCACTCTGGCGTCTTGGCACAGGGCAGCGTCCAATATAGGAGTCTCAATAGTTACAAGCAGCATCTTCTTGTAGTCCACATATGGTTCCAATAGAAGTTATCCAGATCTAGATGAAAAGGCTCCCTAAAAAAGGTACCATACAACGGTCCTTCATTTTCTGAAACTATTTCCGTGTATATATTATATAGTGAATCTATATATATATATGTATATGTATGTGTAGATTGATTCGAGAGCTGGGACAGGCAGGGACTCCTTCTGAATATCATAGTATAACATCATACGTGCGTTGTCGGCTTTCCCTTATTCGAGGGTATCTTCTGAATCTTCTAAATGAGGATCTAGGGCTGGGCTCTTCAAGCTTTCTTGAGCGGTTCTGACAGTGTCCCTAGAGGGTCTACGGCCAGGTACAGCCTGTACAGCCAGCTCAGGAGACAATAGGTGCGGCAAAGTCATTCCGATTTGGCCGATTTGGCGTTGAGTTAGTAAGGCCCTGTACGTGATTTTTTTATGCGTGGATCCCTGAGGCAAGATCGACCCCAGCCAAAATAAACTCCCCGACCGACGGTGAGTGTTCGCTGACTGTTCTAGACTCGGACATTTTCCGGTTTCGCTGCACTGTATCCTTTTCTATATAGGCCAATCATAATGGGATCCTTGCTTCCCTCGACCAATTTTCCCAAAGTCCCTAAACACCGAAATGCCAAACTTGAAACCATTGCATTGTGAGTTCCGCTGCATGTCGGTCAGGGCAACTCTATGTCTCTACACTGTCAATCCTTGCATCCAAGTTCTCGTGCCATGATTTCTACTGTAGACACAAAGCACAAGAGTTTGTGCTTACAGGGCTTCAGAGCAAATATCTTGGTTGTGGCGACACACATAGGACTCCTCATCGGTATGTATATTTGTATGTCTGTGCATGCATGCAGAGTGTGTTTGTACATGCAAATAATGAGGTCATGTATCTGCAAACAGAGAGAGCTGGATAGATGGACAAACGGGGTCAGTTTGTAGAAGGAGAGATCGATAGATACTCAGTTCGTAAGGCAGTCAGTCCATCAAGTAAGTAGTTGGTTGTGCAACTACTTAATTACTAATTACTTGGTCGGGTGGTTCATTGCTTGTTTGCTGTCTTTTTTCGTTGGGTCGTTCGTTCTTTCGTTCGTTCGTGCATTTCACAGTCTTATAGCTATTGCATGTAGCTGAGTCGTGTAAGAATGACAGCCTTCAGACAAGTGATAGGGCGACACAGAGAGGCAGAGGAGATTTCTGCAGCCAGACTGCGAAGCTTCAGGCACTTTAGACCTCCTGACCTCCTCCTGGGCGGCTCTGCTGGCGGGCGGCTGGCACGCCGGCTTGGGGTCTGCTCGGGCTTTCGCGGCTTTGGTCTTCGGTCTTTGGGTTTGGTGTCTCCGGATTTCGGGATCAAGGCAAAGGTCGCTGATCGATCAGGAGGGTTTTCGGTTTGGAAGAGCCTCCTTTGCATGTCACGAGAGTGGTTCGAGGGAGAGTATTATGTTGTTGGGCTTGTAGTTTCGGTGGGGGTTGTCTTTTGGGCTTCTCAGGGCCGCCCTTCAGCAAGCCACCAGGTACAAGAGCCAAATGCCCGAACCCCAAAGCTCAAGGACATGCCGCAGCTGCGAGAACTCCCATTCCTTTTTCTGGGTTCTTGTTAAGGGATTTAATTTAAGTTGCCATAATAAGGAAACCATATTATTTACTGTAGATCCCTATTATGGTATCTTAAATTAAATCCCTTAACAAGAACCCAGTTTTTTACCGGCAGAGGCCGGTCTTCAAGCAGATCCACCTGGCTCCGTGCTTGGACTCGAGGATATTGCATTGGTCTGCCAGTGTGCACGTGTGTCTCTGCCCATCTTTTCATGCTTGTAAGTGCATGTGCATGCATGTAATCAAGTGTGTTGTGTGTTGCGTGTGTGGGCAAAAGCTACAAAAGCTTACGTTGAAATGACCCCAACATGAGCATGGACTTTCGGCTGGTTCTTCATGATATGACAGACGGTAGTGCTCTACCGTTTTTTCAAGAGCATGCTGGCGGCCTCATGCTACCCAATTGGTCAAGCCGGCAGCGCGATCCTGCTCGAGCATAACACAAGCTAGTTCTCACACAAAGAAGTGTGGAAAGGTGTGAACTCACGCAGCAGCAACTTAGTGTGAGAGTGCAGAGGTGGCTGCAATCACCAAGACGGTGATGTTGGTACGACATCCGTGGCCGGAACATGAGATGATCAAAGTGCCGAGAATTACCAGCACCAGCACCACCACCGCAGCCCGGCCACCACCACGCCACCGCCACCTGCTTCATCGTCACCATCATCATCATCGTCATCATCATCATCGTCGTCACTACCAGCACTATCATCATCTTCATCACCGTCATCATGATGATGATCATCATTGGAATCTACGCAAAGTCGACCCAAGCACACCCTGAGGACCTTTGTCGAGAGGGTTTGTCAGCGCCAAGGTCGGCAAAAAGCTGAGCGACGTGATGGACGACAGGCTCCCTTCCTGTTTGGTTTTAGGACCTTGGGTTTTGCGACACTACTTACGACTACCACTACTACTACTGTTGCTGCTGCTGCTGCTGCTGCTACTACTGCTACTACTACTACTACTACTACTACTACTACTGCTATTACTACTACTTCTACTACTACTACTACTACTACTACTACTACTAGTACTAATACTACTACTACTCCTGCTGCTGCTTCTGCTGCTGCTGCTACTACTACTACTACTACTGCTGCTGCTACTACTACTACTACTACCACTACTACTACCACTACTACTACTACTACTACTACTACTACTATTACTACTACCTGCTAACTACTACTACTACTACTTTTGCTACTGCTACTGCTACTGCTACTGCTACTACTACTACTACTACTACTACCACCACTACCACTTGCTACTACTACCACCACTAGCACTTGCTACTACTACCACCACAACCACTACGTTCACGACGACCCTCACGACAGTCCTCAGCCTCACCAAGACCGCCACCGCGCTCTACTTCTAATTCAAGGCTTTCACAACGACACTAGACGCTCTGTTCACAGGCGCTCGCAAGGGTGCAGGAAGATTCCGTAAATTACAATATGTTGCTCGTTCGGATGCAGGAAGCCGAACTGTCTGCCAAAAGTAGCAAAAAACCCAGTGTGTGATACAAGGAGTGCCAGTCCCAAAACAAACCTATGAAATCCCAGTGAAAAACCTCTGGCAAGGCTGTCAGAAACCAGCGGGATATGTCTATCAAAGTTGTGAGAGACCCGTGAGATTCCTGTGACAAGCTTGTGACAACCCTGTGAGAGAAGCCGCTGAGACATGTGTGGGAATTCCGTGACAAACATGGGCAAGCCCTCTGCGCGGTTTTTAGAGCGTCCAAGCGCATTCCTTTAGCCGCGGCAGGCCAATGAAGTATCCACATCTTCAGGGCCGGCCCAACGAATGTGATGAGCTGGACAGCGAGGAGGAGAGCTTTGGGGCTTTCACGGCACGCCGTATGTCTACTTTGGTCGCGGTCCTGTTTTAGTGTTGAATGCTTGGTGCAGGGGGCAATCACACATTCAGTGCAGTGTTTGTTCTTGTCGCATATTCTGCATGGGAGGAGGGGCGGTTCCACGGATTGAGATTGCATCAACTGTTCAAGAAAGACAGTCTATGATGGTTTTATTTGTTGACGTCAGGATTTGCTGATGAAGGGTTGGTGCTTGGGGCAGGGGATTTTTTGGTGTGTAGACAGATTCTCGAGTTTCCGTCAGCGATTGAGTGTGCATGGCGGGTAAGCCTGAATGTTCGATGTCGCGGTGGTCGTCGTCGCCTGGCTCGTCGTGGGAAAGAGGATCGTCGTGATGCCGATCGCCCAGCGGAGGGACGACATGAGAGAAGTCGAAGTCGTGATGACGCTGGTGAATGAGGGGATCGTTGGGAGGTTGTGTCCATCCGGGGTGGCTTTCTTAGAGGCGTTTAGCACAAACCGTCTGGCTGAGACTTATCGCTGCGGAGAGAAAGTCCCATTGCACTTTAAAGCAACCCAAAACTCTAGAGGATTGCAGAGTGGTACTCCAATCATAGCAACCCAAGATCCATCAGCTTTACCCCTAAAACCCAACTCAAAAACTAAAACAACCTAGGCATTACTATTACCATTCCTATTGCTATTGCTATTACTGTTATTGTCATTGTTATTCTTATAGTTATTCTCATTATTGTCACGCTATTGTTGTTACAACTATGTAATATCACCTTTTTAGAGGACCTGAACTACCGGGATGCCCTTCTTTATGCGATCTCCAGGGGCGAGGCGGGCGCCAGAAGTTTCAGAAGTGGCCTCGGGGTGTAGGTCGTACCGTGTAATGCAGTAAACCGCGGAGTGCAGTGGTCGCATTTTTCAGGGCTTGAGTGGTTGAGAAACGTCATTCAGCCCGACGGTCTGCAGATTCGAGATTGGACTCTCTTTCCCATTCCAAGCGCACCGTAAGGATCCGCTCGCACTCTGTTCATTGGCAAGGAAGCTTCGCTTTCCTGCATCCTACAAGTTATATACCCTAAACCCTACACGCTATTGTAGGTACCAGTGGTATTGAGGGTTCGGTTCGCAAGAGTATAGTGCTCCTTACGGCCTGGTTCGAAATTTAGAAGGGGAAGCAGTGCGAAATGTTGAAAATTCGATACCTGTACTATTTTGGGGCCTCTTTATTACAAGTATTATATAATATACACCAAAACCCTTTTCTAAGTATTAAGCAAAATGACTGGGCATTGTCAGGACCTGAAGCGTAGCAGTATCCTGTCGCAATATCAGCACAATGCTCGACACCAGAGCCACACGGACTGTGCTGATTGTAGTCCCTTGATAGCGACAGACAGCAAACCCTAAACCCTAAACCCTAAACCCTAAACCCTAAACCCGAAGCCCTCCGACTCTGAAGGTTCCGTATCAAGCCATCTGGTGTTGCTCTGGGTACGTTTTTGCAAGATTTAGCTCGCTACGATGTTGTTTTCGTGTTCGTTTGGCTAAGGCTTCATAGCCTCTTTAGGGTTAAGGGTTTCAAGAGATTTGGGCGTTCCTAAACCTAAAACCTTGATCCAAACTCAAGAGCTTCAGCAACGCCCCGAAACCAAAACCCCCCAAGCCCCGTAACCCCAAACCCACCCAAAGGCCCTAAAGTCCTCGTCAGATGCTGACACCCGGCCTTCACCTCCTGGCCCTGCGCCGTGGGACAAAGTGCCCTGTAGGCCAGGGTTGGGTTGGGGTTTTGGGTTGGGGGTTTAGGGTTTAGGGTTTAGGGTTTAGGGTTTAGGGTTTAGGGTTTAGGGTTTAGGGTTTAGGGGTGGTGGTGGCTGCGGTGGTGATGGTAATGGTGGTGATGATAGTCACTTCGCGCATATAGAAGCTAATTGTAACTAGCTGCGGGCAACATAGCTGTATTTACAGGTTCGAGGTGCGTGTGCATGTGTATATGTATGTAAATTTATGTCATATACATGTATATGTATATGTGTGTATGTGTATGTGATTTGCATGATGCATAAATTAATATGGACATGTTTCATATCTAGAAATGTTTGTATGTAATTACCCTCCCGGTAAGTGTATACGGATATGATACACATATGCATGTGCTTTTGCATATGTATATAGGTATATGTGTACGTTTGCTGTTTATGAGCATGTACGTGTTGTGCATACGCAGTTCGGCTTTTCACATTTAAATTGAACGCACCTCTATGTAGCAAATGCAGTTGCTACTACCTACATTGACCTACATCGCAGAACTGCGTGACTTGCTGATACTGCTACCATCTTCATCTGGTTGCAGTACCAGCATGAAGGCCGCACTATTTTGGAAAGGGGAGCGCTCTGGAGCTAAAGCCTAAACCCTACAGACCCTAGGCCCAAAATCCGAAACGAAAAAACCGTAAACATTTTTAGACATCCCAGACTGCCAAGATTTTGGAGCGCCCATGTTGTTTCAGCCGCCCGAACGAAAGAATTTGAAGGCCTCATAAAATGTGTGTTCTCGGGATTTTCAATGCAAAACCACAAACATTGCGGATCTCTGAACAGTTTGAGGTCGCAGACTGCCAGGACCTTCAAAGGTTTCAAGTCGATGTCATGGATTCCACTGAGGTTGGAGCCCATAGACGGCCAAAAGCAACAGAGGTCTTCATGTTTCTGGTTCGGCCTTAGACCCCCAGAACATTCTCAAGATGGCATGTTTGGTGCTCTAATCACTCTAAATTACTGTTTCGGGTTCTCACAGCCCCCAACCCCAAACCAGAAGTCCAAACATAAAACGCCCTACGAAAGCAACGAGACAGCGAACAAGCAAAGCACACCTGCCCGAAAGGCAACGCAGTGGCCCTCTTGTCCCTGGCTTTGGACATGGTTCGCAACCGGGGAACCTACCAGGCCACGGGGGTTTAGGGTTTAGGGTTTAGGGTATAGGGTTTAGGGTGTAGGGTTTAGGATCTAGGATTTAGGTTAGAACTTTAAGATGTCTTGAAGGGGTAAGCCGCTAAGCCTTAAACACTAAAACGTGGCCCGGAACTCTTATAACCGAAGCTAGACCCTGCAGCCGGGTCAGATGTACTCATTTTGCCGTGGCGTTTCGTGTTTCAGAGCTGCGAAAGCAATTCTAGCACTGTTCAGGGCGGCTAGTAATTATTGAACGATCTTCCACACCGACCGCCTTGGGATTTTCGAATTCAGAAGACCTCGCAAATATCAATCACTTCGACCTGTTAAGTTTTTTTTGCATGCGGGTTGAGGTATCCGAATCCAAGATGCTCGTAGTAAGAATTTCCTGCGAAGGTTCTCTTCGTCAGGCCCAAAGCAGTGACAGCCGTGGACTGTCACACCCACATGGCATTGCAAAGTTCCTCAACGTAGGGGGCTTGACAGTTCGATCAGAACAGGGTTTTGGGCTTCTTTATGGTATAAATATCATAAGGAGCCCCAAGGAATGATATAAGTAGTTATTTAGCTTGTGCGCACTTTATGAAGCTCTGCAAAGCGGTACCTAGACACTCACATCCCTCATCCTTCACTGAACCTTAAGAGGCCTCATGAACGCTGCCGCCTTCATTGCGAGGGATCCTTGAAAGACACGCAAAACATGGTCTACTCGCTGATCGTCTCTGCGCAGGCTGGATTTGGGTTACCAGCATTGTTTGCATAATGGTGCTGGTTGTGATGAACAAACGTAGCCATAGCTGTCCCAGTTCTTAGAACACGTGTATAATCATTGTCGTCGTGGTCGTCGTCGTCGTCGCGTGGTCGTGGTAGTTGAATCCCAAAATCTGCGTGTTCAAACCAGTACTACGTTGATCATTATCCTCAGCATCGCGACTGTTGTCGCTGTTTTTGTTTGAGTCAGTCGGTCCCCAGCAGAGGGAGCTCCGGCGTCTCCAGCCCGATCCTCAAAACATCCCTCCCGGGAACGGGGAGCTCTTGTGGACACTTCGATCTTGGAGTCGAAGCTGCCATATTGGATTGCATGGAGCCATGCTAGGTTGCAACATATCTCCATAATTATTCAAGTATGTTTGATATGCTCAAGATCAGCTGCCTGGTGCTCTGTACAAGATCCGTAAGCTCTTGCTAAATGAAATACGTATCGTAGAAGGACTTCTAGCAGACTCTTGCCAGACTCGTTACCCATATGGGCGACGCTGCTACCCTGACAATTGAGGCGCAGTCCGTCTTTGAGCCGCCATTACAGGAAACAGATATCTCTATGGTAAATACCTTCAGTATTAAACGGGTACCTTGACTTGTGGCTGGTTGACTTGAGAGCACCTCGCGGCTTTGAGGGACTTGTATCTTCCCCGCTCCAGTGCAGGACACGATCAGTGCGTGGGTGTCGTCCAAGCTAAACTGGTGCTGGGCCTTAGTGAGTCCACCCTAGAGCCTAAACGGTGTATGGGTAGTTCTCTAAATTAGGGCCCCTTTTAGGTCCCCAATATAGTACGGCACCTTTATGAAAAAGGACTTTAAAAGGGACCCTCATTTCGAAAACTACCCGTATAGCTCGCAAAAGCTTTGTATAGCAGCATGAACGTATGTTCGGAACCCTGGGAAGTCTCTTTTGGAGGTTGGCCCAGAAAAGAGACACCAAAGGGTGTACGGAGAATCGAATCTACGATGCAGATCCGGTTTTAAGCATTCCGGGGTTTGGGTCTTAGCTGTCACGTGGAGTTGCTGGAGGCTGTTCCGAAACGTTCCGAATAGCCTAGAACTGTTACCGAACCGTCCCGGAGTGTTCCGTTCACCATTCCGAGCCGTCTCGAACCGTTCCGAGCCGTTCCGCAGCGTTCCGAACCTTTCTCAAACCTTCCGACGTCCCGAACCGTTCCGAAACCCTTCCGCCGTTCCGGACGGTTCCGAAAGTTGCGAAACCGTTCCGAATTGTTCCGAAATCGTTCCCAACTGTCGGAGCTGTTTGGGCCAGTTTGGCAACGGCTCGGAAGCCCAGCCCAGCCCAGCCCAGCCCAGCCCAGCCCAGCCCCGCGACCCCTTGCCCAGTTCGCTCGGGCCGTTGTTGATCCCGCATTTGCCTGCCTAATTTCGCTGCCGAAGCCCATCGAAGAGCACCCAAAACATCCCAAAACAATCCAATGTCTGCCAGCATCCCAGAACAGAAGCATGTTCGAACGTTGGAGTTAGCCGTTAGCCGTGCTCCGAAATTTGGCTTACACCGAAAGATGCGGCAGTCTTGGGCAAGCTCAGGGTGTGCCGAAACATATGTATATTCAAGCAAAGTAGTTCTGTATTTATGTATGTATGTAAGTACGTATGTAGCTGTGTATATATGCTTGCATACATACATACATACATACATACATACATACATACATACATACATACATACACACATACATACAGACGTTCATTTGTCCATTAAGACACTCAGTCACTCATTCATTCATTCATTCATGCATTCATTCAGTGATGCATTCATGCATTCGTTGATTCATTCATTCATTCGTTCTTTGTGTTGTGCATGTATCTATATACATATGTATATAAACAAACCAACATACAAACACCACATAGATGGACACATGTGTATTCGTATGTGCGACGACTTCCCTTCTTCCGCCATTCCAGCACAGCGGAAGGTGAGAACTGATTTGTAAACCTTCAATGCCGAAAACCGCAGAGAACTCCAAATTTTGAGCTCAGAGCGCAAAGCCCCTGAACCCACAACCCGTAAATTCCAAGCCCGAAGCACCAAAACCCAAAACCCTGACCTGCAGACCACTAGGTCACCGTTCTTCGACCTCTTTACTACCAAGTGGCCTCTATGGGCAGCTGGACGGCGCAGTCTTCTATAAGGGGTCCGAGACGGGTTGCTGCAAGGGTTCTTACGAGGAAGTGTTGCAAGGTTTCATAAGGGTATGCATACGGGTTACAAGAGTTACGATAAGGGTTCCTAAATTTGAAGACAACAGTGTTCCAGTAAGCATTCTATCAGGTTACCATAAAGGCTGTACAGAAGCTTTGTTCAGGCTGGTACTGTTGGTGCTTTTTGCGGAACGGTTCAGGGTTCGGGCATAGGGTTTAGGGTTTAAGGGGTAGGGTTTGCCTTGGAATAGCGCGTAGGCGATGGTATCTCATGTGCATCATACTATGGCGACGAGCTGCAAAAGCCTGTCTATAGAAGACTTTCCTTCTTTCTCTCCCATAGAAGGCGGCCAAGCCACCCAAACCTATTGCTTTTAGGGTTTAGGCTTAAATTCACGCCATCGCGTTATTTTTCCGGAATAATAAGGCAAGGCAAGGCAAGGCAAGGCAAGGCAAGGCAAGGCAGAAGCAGGGCATGGCAGGAGGGCAGGGCACAGGAAGGCGGCAGGTAAGGCAGGGCAGCAGGGCAGGGTCTATGGTGGCAGGGGCAGGGGGAAAGGGGGCAGAGCAGAGGCAAAACGCAACCTGTAAAACAAAAACACAGTTTGGTCAGGTCCCCCCTAGGGTCGCTAGGGGCTGCTGGGCCTTGGGGTTTCCTCGTAGAGTGGACCTCCGTCTCAAGTGCCGCAAATAACCCTAAACCCTAAACCCTAAACCACTGTAGCGTCTGAGCCTCAATGCCGGAGCCCTGAAGACTACTTCAGGACTTCAGCCTTCATCAGAGAAATGGCACAGCCACACTCACCGCTATCCTTCTCAGGGTTTAGGGTTTAGGGTTTAGGGTTTTGGGTTTAGGGTTTAGGGATTCTCTGTCGAAAACATCATCGACATCATCATAGCAATCAGGTTTGCTATCTTGTCGGCATCATCGCCTCATGATGATCAGCGTCTCAAGGGTAAGCGGTTAGCACCACCACACTATGCTACTCATGCTCGAGACCAGTACCATGTCTTTTTTCAGTTATCTTCATGTGTATCTTCGATGCCGTCCCATGCTGTCGTCGCCAGCATCACCTTCATCAATTGGTCGTTGCAGTTGCCGTCTTCGTCTGCATCATCAAGTTTATCTTTAACTTCATGTTCTTCTTCTTCATCTTCATCATCATCACCAGTTTCATCGCCTTTTTTATCATCAGTATGTAAATCATTTCCACGTTCGTCTGTGTCGTCATCATCCGCATCATCATCACCACGGTCGTCGTGATGATCGCAGTATCTTCAGGTTACTTCTCCTCCTCCTCCTCCTCCTCCTGCTCCTCCCGATGCTCCTCCTCCAACTCCCCCTCGTCGTCGTCGTCGTCGTCGTCGTCGTCGTCGTCGTCGAAACCATCACCATCGCCATCCACGGTACAATTTGCAAGCTCAGGGGCTACAACCAGCCACGCGCTCCTCAGAACGAGGCTGCAAGATGTCTCTGCAAATTCATTGCCCTGCCAAGGAAGTGCTTTCCCAGCTGGCCTGTGTTGTGGACCCCAGTGCTGCCTGTGTCAGGGTTCGTAGGGCAGGAAGTGGGGCTCACACCGTCTGTTGTTCTTCCGTGGATGCGACTTCGGAACTGATCCATCAGCCTTGAGAATGCCGCCACATTGATGCCGAGGTAGACACAACCCGGCCGTGTGTCACCCGATCTGCGCTGCAGTGGCTGGCAGAATTTGCTGTGGGCGCGGGTTGTGAGCGTCTGCACTCTTTGACTGGACTTCCTCTCTGAAGCCCTGGTGGTTGGCGGCTTAAAGCATCTATGCCCCGACTCCTGGCATTGTTTCTACTCTATGGCTATAACAGCCCCTTCCCAGGTTAAGTCGAGGTCTCTGCAATAATATCGAGGTTCCCGGGTTTTGGGATTGAGGACCGGGCTCTGATGATGACAGGGCCAGCAGGTCAAGAAAGAGAGTGGCAGAGAGGAGCATACTTACGAGTTGGCAAGCAATATACTTTTAAAAAGGCTGCAGAGAGCTACCGACAAGCCCCACGACCCAACATGTCGCGTGTCCGAATACGAATCGACGATTCGGGGTTCAAGATTCGGGCTTATGGGGCTCAGGGTTCAGGGTTTGTTGGGTTCAGGCAGTGAGGATGAAGGTTCAGGCACGAGGTTTAGGATGGAGCGTTCAGGGCGTATTTTAGAAGCCTGAAGAATGACCAGCATATTCCTTAGCTGCCGTAGCTTTGCTGAATATATATATATATAT